AGCCACAAGCAACATGCCTACATAAGAAGTTTACAGACAGTACATGCATATTACCCATACCAAAAACAGAAGCATAAACAATTTTGTTGCAGAAAACCATTTGATGATTCACAGAATATGTCTTAATGTACAACTGGGAATGGGAAAAGTGATGATATATATTTTCATCCAAGTACACAGTCGTTGATTTTCCTTGAAAATTTGACAGTTACAAAGGTGCTAAAAACATTCCCCACATTTTCTGTAACCTTAAGGTTCATTACCAAAATGACAAAATCTGCCACTGTATACCATTCTGATCTAGTATAATCCAGTCTCAGGTTCCAAACCCCATTTCTCTAAGATCCTCATCAATATTATTGCCCCATCTACAATTGGTTTCTTATGTGGCCTCTTCCACTGACATTTCCTAACCAAAATTTTGTCTTAGTTCTCATTTACCCCATGTGTCACATATCAATCTTCTTATCATCCTTGAAATAATCATCCTGACATCAGGTAAAATATTCAAATTATAAAGCTCTTCATTAAGTAATTTTCTCAATCCTCCTATGCCATGAAGGTTCAGCACAAATTTAAAAACTGAATTTAAATGTATTAGAATAAGCTAAGTTTCCACATATTACATGAGAAGAGGGATGTGTGATGAAAAATATTTTTAAAACAGAAAAACTACAATGTTTGTTATTCTGACATTAAAACTTTAATCTAAGGTTAATATAAAAACAAACTATTATTAACGAAATAAAATTCATAATTTGCTTAAAGAGTAGACTACCAAAATTTTGTTGCTTCTAATGAGTTTCAGAACCAAATTTAATATGATAATGCTCAAGACAAAATTATTACTTCAGCTCTCACACTCCCTTACACACACAACTGCAATAATAAAGAACGCCATCCATCACATTTAAGACTGGCTGATTCCATTTCAGATAATTCATGAAATTCTACACCCTTCACTTTCATAATTATAATTACAATTGTTTGTTTACTTTTCATGTGAAATTTAATGACAAATAAGTACAGCCACTTAAGTACAGGGGTTGAGACTGGTATACTTAATGCCACTATAACAAGAAGCAGACGCCAAAGACATAACATCCCCCACCTGCCCATCCATAATTAAGTTGTTGGTAAAGGTAAAGTATGAAAGTGCCAACACAGATTATCCAAATAACAAATCTGTAAAATGCTTGTCATTTTATCCACACAACAGAATAACATTCTCTACATCTTTTTCAACTACTAAGTTAATACAAACTGACAGATACAAACAAGCACTATCACAAGTATATTAAAGAGTTATACAAAGCATACAGACCAGTTAATGAGGTTTACCATAACTATGCACCAAGTCTGAGTTTTCAATCCATACCATTGCTGTTAGTTAGTTAGGCGAGTGTTACTATAGATTATCCACCATTCTGATCTAAATCTTACCTCCCATGAGTAGGTCTTATACCATCTATTGCATTAGAGAGCTTTATGTAGTCTTCTTTATCAGAATTTTTTCTTTCCAAATGCTTCCGTTCCAAGTGCTCATGGAGAATAATAGCCTGAAATTGTTTTTCAATGTATAAGTCAACAACAAGTGTGATAAGCAAGAGTGAAAAGAGCACTTGATAAATGTTTTGTGCATAATTTTACAGTCAATGATCCAACTGCTAACAGAAGAATGAATCCATGCTCTAGTTAGCATACTATTAATAGCTAGTGCTAAAATCACTACAAGTAAATATAATACAAAAATGAAAATGTGAATTCCAAATCTAAGAACATGTATTTTTCCAAATGTGCATGTTGTGATTTTACACACCTCATTGATCTTGGTATGTATTTATTATGACAATGGGACAATTAAAATGTGTTTCTTCTTCTTAACCTTAAATCCTGATTTATATCATGTATAAGATATTTCTCTGATAGGAAATTGAACTCCTTTACTTTAACGGTCTCCTTTACATACACCTTTTGTTTTCATATCACATTACCATCAGTGTAACACAACATTTATGTCTTGAATGAATGTTATGTCTGTACTGATTCAAATTACCTTACAATACATTTTCAAAAAAAAACAAAAAACTTTCATTTATTAATATTAATCACTATTTATTATCTTACAAAAATATTATATATCACACCACTACGTATAAATTTCGCACATGATGAGGCACTTTTAAGGAAACCACGAAAGTTCAATCTGAGTTTCTTGTAATGCAGAGTTCACATTTGACAGATATGAACCAAAATTAAATTTTCCTGACAACTTCCAACACCAAATTTCATAAAATAAAATAGAAGAGATACAATTGTAGCTGTAATCTTCTAGCATTTGATGCCACATAGTTTCATAGATGGTTACCAAAGTTCCTCCAAATCACCAATACAACCACAAACAACGCTACATGGCACTGACACCGAGAAGACCACACTGACATCTTCACTGCTATAAGAACCCCAAATCTCAGACAGAACAGATCCATCTTAAAAAATGGACAAACATCTCTGGTACTGAACCATGTTCCTTTACACCACAGCAAATGGTAAAAAAACTTACTTTACTCAGTTCATCTTCAAGATTGGTATTTTCTCCCGGACTAATAGTAGAAGGTGTAGAAGCACCACTACAGTTACCATTGGTGTGTATATCTGGAGGATGTTTCACTGGAATAGGGGCACTTTCTTGATGGGTCCACTGCCCTTTCACTCTACCAATTTCATCATCTTCTACCTACCACATACATACCCATCAGCAAGCAGCAGATGTTAATACATATTATGAAATGTTAAGGAAACAATATGATTTTAGCTTTTAAGGAAGTCAATGCTTGAAGTATATCCTACTTACCCTCCAAGTATATACCACTGTTTATAAATCCAGTTTTAAAGACAACATTGCATTAAACATTAATACAAAGTACTATGCCATGAATGATAAAAACTAGTTGATACACCTACACAAGTGTAACACAGGGCTTTAAGAGGGAAATGAGGTTAAAATTTATACATCCACAACCCAAAACCACATACACACTAAATTATTAAGTAATAATTTACATCAAATCAAGTCACACATGGAAGATATATTATTTCAAGAACAGTTAAGTGAGCCAGATGTTTTACATAATATTACATTAAAATGTAATTTTATTCCAATGATCCCTCCAGCACCCTAAACAGTAATCAATTTAGAACAGTTACTTACCTATTGCACAATTTATCCTCTCTGAAGTTCAACTAGAATAATTTTTATTTTCCTTTCATACATTTTTAAAATATATATTTTACTAAAATACATTTTTTTCCATTAGCTTTAGAGATAAGCAACCTTCACCCATTACACATGTCCAATGAGAGTGGAAGTGCATTCTATTCTATTCTACATGTTACTGGCAAGTCAGTAAAGAACTGAACTGGTAGTATGTGAAAACCTTATGCTATTCTACTACTTATGCTGTCACAACAATGAATTCAATATTCCCCTATCCTTCCCCATTAACGCAATAACAACATGGATAATGCAGAAGAAAAACTGAGAGCATTTTACAAATAATAATATGTAATACAAGGTTCATCTCTAACCTTTCCAATTTCTTGCGACCATCTTTTATCCATTCCATCACTTGTGCTATAGCCGCTGTCCACTGTGTACCTTTTCTGTCGTAACTCTGCAGAAATACCATTTGCAAACCGCAAATCTGATAAGTGTCCAGCTTTTCTATGAGCCCTCCTGAGCTCTTCACTCAAAATGCCTCTCTTCTTGTCCTCTTTCACGGCTTGAATCTCCAAATATTTAAAGACGTGGACACGACCCCTCGTGCATAACTAACAACACAGGAATATTTAATGGCATAAATCTCATTAATCTACTTTACAATGCATACAACTAAAAATATTATCCCCTGAATTATTCTTGCATCCATCTGTAAGACAAATTTTAAGACAAAATAATCAAAACTTATAGACAGAAATGAAAATCAAGTGTAACTTCACCATTGTCATCATGCATATATCTGTCACTTCATAATGCAGTGTGTCAACTGAGAATCAAATCTTCCCATGCTTCAGCATTTGAAGACATAATTACAGTAGCAGATGCAAAATTTTCCTACACTTCATAGTTTCCAATTAACAGATAGCATCTACTTTAATAAGAAAAGCTTCACAATATGAAGCCATAAGACTGTGGCATGTACTATACCTAGTTTCCAGGTATACCACATGCTCAAAAATTACAAGGACATCAATGCACAAAATAACAATTTTGTGTGAATTAGCAACTGATTTACATGCAGGAATTACACAATTCCATCAACATTTCAAGGTACAGTTTTTAAATATATTACAAGAACCTATTTGGGTAAATTAGCTGTTGTACCAGAAAATTCAGAGAATTAAGGCTGAAACAGATGAAGAGTCATGCTGACAAAATTAAACGTTGAAAATGGCCACAAACTTCCTTCATTACTCTCACCATTACTTCTTTTTAAGAAGCAATATGCCAAGTATGCTACAGCAAAGAACTATATATATTCATGGAATGTTATACTTAATTGTTCTGAAGAAATGCAAAGCTGTGATTCTAAACTTTTGTAGTATTAAATGATAATTGCATTTTATCATATAAGCAGTTACTCAAGAATGGAAATTTTATCACTTTCCACACTATTCTAGAAGAGAAGACAAATAAGAACAAAGTAATTGTTGTAATTACTCATACATAATCTTGAAAAAATACCACACTAAGAAACAACGTAAAAGAATATAAAATTATTAAGAGAAGGCACAAGGACCATACTTCTGGACATAGCAAACAAATTCAATGAAATTTAGAATATTAAATGAACATAATATTTGTTTTGAACTCTAATCTATTTCACATCTCAATGCATTCATGTTGGGTCATATTTCATGTAATTATTCATGTCATAATTGTAAGAATTTAGCTTGACAGAAAACCAACTTCCATTTATTTTCACCCTTCATTATGAGGTACACTGTAGGATGCAAACTATAAGAGTACACAAGTGGAAAACATGAGTTCTCAAAATTATATTGCACCATTTTATGACTGTTCTTCCTAAATCAGAACTGTGTTGTGCCAAAATACAATATGAAAGAAAACAAACAAGATTCATTATGTGATCACCATCACTGTTCATGGATTTAAGAAGTCTGAAGAAATCAAAATTATATAAGCCATAAGACACAAGTATTGCCACAAACAGCTGAATGCTACCATGCATGATAAAGTAAAATATTTGTCATATTCAATTAAATCCCTTACATAATGCAAAGAAAATTCCAAGAAAATCTGATACTCAGCATAATAAGAACTTTATCAAACTACTCAACTATATAAAAAAACAAGCTCTATGCACAACACTGGAAAATTTAATAACTTAATTACAAAAGACAAGATCCACTTACATAAGATGGTGGGGATGTGAGAGGATTATGACTTAGATTTAGGTCAACCAATGTGGTCATGGTACGTAGCTCCACTGGCAATGTCGAAATCCTATTCCCACTGATGTCTAGTTTCACCAGCCTGAGATATGTGATTTCTAAATAGAGCAAAATAATACATACACATTTACTGATTTCATTGGAAGAAAGAAATGTAGAGGATACAGCATGATATCTACTAACTTTACTTGGTCTCCAAGAATTTCACCATCATCCACTACAAAGAATAGCAAATACAGCAGCAGTATTAAAAGCCAAAAGAGAAAATGATTCAGAGTGCATTAACTTCTTGTTTTACATATGTTAAATTAAAAAAGTTTACATTACACATTGAATATATTAATATCTCTCTTCTAACGTGTCCAATTAACTTTTGCTACAACAAAATCAAGCTAAAAATGTGTATGTTTCCAGGTTTGTCCACTATCTGTCCAGTATTAAACACCAGTTGCTATTTTCATACTATGACATTCGATGCATAATCCCCTAACAGCATCAGTGACTTTGAAGAGTATTATTATATTTATTAATACTAACCACCTGAAATTTATTATTATTATTCAGAAATGTATTTATTATATCAGGTCACACGATCTGCAACTACTGTCTTTAACTTAATAGGAAATTCATATTTTAAAATAAATTTTGTTTACTGAACAATTTTCAAGGAACAAATTCTTCCCATAAAGCAAGAAATTAGTATATATTTTAACAAATCCTCAATGTTTCAGTTTCAAACACATGTCAAATAGCCACTTCCGTACCACAATTTTCTGTATTACACTTCATTTAAATGAAGTGGAAATGAATTTAAATTAAATCCACATCTGTGTGCCTGTGGAAAAGCAAAGGAAAAAAATACATCTTGTAATAGCCACTGGAAAAGTCATCTCATTTTTAAGCAGCCCTTCCTGGACACAGAGTTTGACATGTCTGATATAAGTGCTGATTTAAATTTAAATAGGTACACAATGAAGGACATTATGATTTAAAGTAGCATACAGCATGAAACCAGTTAGGCTAATTAAAATGTTTAAATAAAACCTAAAGTAACGTCATATAGGTAAACATTTGTCTCATGCATTTCATATTCAGAATGGTCAAACCAAGACGATGCTTTATCACTATTGTTATTTGGCTTTGCCCTTAAATACACCATTTGGAAGAACCAAGAGCAGAAAGAGGGGCTGGAATTGCATGAGACAAATCAGCTTCCGACATATTCTGATAATGTTAATTGATTGGATGAAAATATAAATATCATAAAGATAAGAAGAATTCTGTCTTCTGGGTTGTTGCGCTGTGTAGTCTAGTCAATGTTAACCAACGTTTCCGAGGTCATACTCCCTCCGTCATCAGGGCGATGAATATTGTGTAGTCTGGTCGATGTTAACCAATGTTTCAGAGGTCATACTGCCTCCGTCATCAAGGCGATTCATCGACCTGACTACACAGCGCAACAACCCAGAAGACAGAAATCTTCATACTCACCGCTGTGAAAACCTCAAATCTTACATCATAAAGATAGCATGGAAGCTCTATTAGAAGCTAGTACATAAGTTGCCCTAGAAGTTTAGGAACTTCAATCAAATGTCTGGTTACTTCTGAGAAGCTGAATTAAGTACAAGTATTATTTACACGACCATTACTATCACTAAACTGTCAAAAAACAATTACTTAAATCATACAAAATACTGTATGCAAGAGTTAAGTAAATCCCTGCAATGTATGCAGCCTGAGAAGTCACATGCTGCACTACTAGCAGACTGGAAAACGTTGTGCATATTCTAATTTGATGTAAACTTTACTGGTAATATCTGAAAACACTGAAAGTTACTGTGTTGAATTGAAAGTCCGGTATTTAAGCAATAACAAACATTTACTATTCCTGTATCATTATCAGCACTGTTTACTGATATCATTCTTCATTATTAAGTCAAGAACAATCCATTAGGAATAATATTACAATTTCATAACTCTAAACTACTCTGAAAGACAGTGACTACTAAGGAAACAAATTTAAATTTAACAAACCAGAATAAAAGTAGTTCGTTACCTATCGGCAGCTCAACGAGGTGATTTCGGCGCACACCGAGAGACTTGAGCACTGGAAGTTCACCAAGTTGTGGAGGAAGATGGGAGATTTCATTGCAGCTAGCATCTAACTCAGCCAACGTCTTCATACGGCCCAATTCCTCCGGAAGCGCGACCAACTTATTATTTGCTACTAGCAACACTTCAAGAGGTAGCTGGCAGAGTGTACTGGGAAGCACACTCAACTGGTTCCGGCTAGTTCAACAACGACCGTATGTCGATATCATAACACAATTAGATACAGTAACAGCAAATATTCTAAGTATGCATAAAAAGCAGGCACACATTTTTCTTTGTAATACTAAGCAATAAGCATTTGAAAGCTTAAATGTTACAAAGAAAAAATTAAAAATCCCTTTAATGTTCCTCTATGTAGCAATACCTCATGTTTCTTGAAAACTGGTTCAAATATGAAGGAAGAGGAGGGACAATGAGAAATGACACCAGTTATTCTCATATTTATAAACACGTTACAATTTCACTCAGACAAACAAATTGACCCACCTGAGATCCAAGTATATAAGAGACTGGAGATACACCACAGAGTCAGGAATAGACCTAATGGTGTTGTGATAGAGCTGAAGCCTTTCTAAGAAGTAGAACTCAGTCACTTCTACTGGCAATTCACCAAATCGGTTCTTTGATAAATCTGTAACAAACAAATTAATCAATCGCACAATATAAAAGCGTTTGATATTTGAGTGTTTTTCTTGCACTCGCAGAAAAGACATAATATTTAAATGGGCGCATAAGTGAAATTAATTGAAAACAGCGAAAAGTCACATACAGACAAATACTAGGAAATGATTAACGATTAGAATTATGGCACCAGAAGCTTACGTCACTTCTGGTTTTGGACTTTTTATTCCAAAGTGTATCAAGCGGCATACTCTACAAAGCACTGCATCGATATTTGTGCCCTTTCCCAAACTGTTTTTCAAAGAGTCTGCCAACAGCTTAAACGGAACTCGCAACTCTAAAACACCAACGCACAAGACCTGCATGGTATCCGGGAACTGTACGCGCAAACTAATAACAAGGAGAGTACTGTTCCACAAGAACGGCATGCTCTGATTACTTTAGAATAAATAAAAAAGGAAAGGTTCTTCTGATACTGCGCCCACACAGAACAACTTCTTTATATACACACACAACTGAATTACATGACATTATACACTTAACACTACAAAACGCTAACTTCATTCAAATAACGTTCGAATCCCTTTCAATCCACCACCCAGATTCATCCTACGACTGGAGGCTGTATAATGTTTGAGGTGTTAAACATCGACGGACTGACGATGGTTTTGATTTATGGACAGGTCTCTGTTTATTGTGAAACGTACGTTACTAGTTCAGTCTTCAGAAACATCCACCTGAAAATACAACACGGAAGAACCGACGACAGCTGCAGCTAAGAAACGTATGAGGGGAAACAATATTTGGACGCCAAATACCACGAAATCACAATCACCAGGGCTCAAGAAATCCCATGCCACAGATCGTCATGGTACCTGGAATGCTCAGTGTCGCTCAATATTTTCTGGGGCGTTCTTTACACATGTTGTGTTCTTCTGTGTGAAAAATTTTAAAATGTGCGCTCATAATTCGATGACGTCATCCACATCGCAGTTTCAGTTAAATACGTACTACCAATGACTGCATAAATTTGTTGTTAGATTTAGATTTGTATAATTAATAATTCGTAATCTGTAGTTTCTACACAGAAACATTTGTAATAAAGACGGAGTGTTTTAGCCGAAACTTATCATCATGCACAGTTTCATTTATATGTACGCCTAATTTTAAAACAGCCATAAAAGTTAATTTTTATAGCTGTCTTGTAAAGTGTTACTTCTGAAAAGAGAATGGGAATTATTCGCTCTACGACGGCGTACATAAAATCAATACTACAACCAGCCTGTCTCCTGCGACTCTTCTGCTTTCATTCATCCAAAACACACACGCACCCTTCGCCACGTGCTGCAAGGACAGCGCCCGTGGGACGAAGCGCCAAGTCATTCGCCGATGAGCACACAAAACAGGGGCGATCATCCTGCAGCAAGGGCGAGGAACATGCGACCCACAAGAAACAATTCGTACTTCAAAGGATTAAGCGTAACAGCTCTGAGTAACAAAATTTGAAGAGGTTTATTTCACTTTCAGTATTTCGCAAAGCAATACGCTATGGGTTACTTCATATTTGAAAATGTTTAAACTAAAACGTAAAGTCATGCAAAATGTTAAATGCCTATGAAGAGCTGGAATCCATTCCAGAGTAAAAGGTTCTGATAATACAGCAAAGTGTAAACGCAGTCCATAAACAAACATGAAGTAGGATTTGAGGTTTTCACAGCGGTGAGTATGAAGTTTTCTGTCTTCTGGGTTGTTGCGCTGTGTAGTCTGTTCATCGCCCTGATGACGGAGGCAGTATGACCTCTGAAACGTTGGTAAACATCGACCAGACTACACAGCGCAACAACCCAGAAGACGGAATTCTTCAAACATGAAATAGACCTACATCCGTCTCAAGTGATCAAATACACAATCGACACAAAAAACACCAGCATAAATGACACAGAAGCCAAGAAAAACAGCATTAAGCCGAAAATAAAGAGTGCACAGCCTTTACAGTAACTAAGAACAGAAGCATACGGAAACTACATACGAGACTTCCACACACGTCCGTTACTGCAAACCCTTCGAAACATGAATTCAAAACATCAGTTTTTTGCGAGACAAACAAGAGCAGAAACGTGTATTTCCGAACGGATTACCCATACTCGCAAAGTAAACAAAATAATAATAATTGACCACCAAAGGGATTATCATCATGACCAACTCGGCAATTTAATATACATCCGCAGAAAAAGAACACTTACCAATTACAGGAAAGAGCTGATATGTTCTTTTTCACTACACAACAAATAAATCCCCAGTTTCCAGCTACAACAAAAAGATATGATGAGTGAACAACTGAAATTTGTATTAAAGGCCAAGCCTTACAGGCACGTTCTCTGAATTCAGACAATGATTTTGTCTGTGCAGGCTTAAAGCGGCCATATTACAAGCGATGCTACTGGAATACATTAAGAAACAAAGCGGGCAAACGTTTCAACACAGACATTTTAAGAAAGAAAGTATAAAAATGTTACTGAAGAAAATTATGTTATTCGGAAGTAAAGCGAAAATATAAAATAAATATAAGGCAGCGTTCGCAAGAAGCTTTAAGACCGGGGGGGAGGGGGGTAAAAGGAAACGCTTAGTGTTAGTAAGTGGAGCACACGGACATAGACACTGTCCATCACCGAAGGAATGAAATGAATACTTCGGAGACTAGCAACACGATTCGGAGGATAACTAAAAGAGCACTTATCAAAGCTGAAGAGAAGAAAGGCACAAGCAGATGATACAATATATTCTGAACTATATAAATACAGCTCAAACATCGTGAAAAAATATCGAACAGATTAAGATGTGGAAGAGAGGAAAAGTAGCAGAGGACACCGACTTGCGATAAAAACTGCAACAAGCATACAAAAATGTCTTTACTACACACAGCGTTAACAAATAACGTTAACTCTGAGGAATTCATATGGTGGACGTTCGTGACAAAATGGATAGAGATTTACAAGATATGGGTAGCAGAATTAAATTACAAAATGTACGACAGTAAGCTTAGCAATTTATCAAATTTTAAAATCTGTAACCGATCAGAATGGAAATGCTGTGACAGCCGATATGAGATCAGGTTAAAGAAATTCCAGGTTCATAAACGCAGCAGAGCTCAAATTCTGATTATGAATGGTACAACGGCAACTCGCAAACACGTGCCATCAGCACTGTTTAATGCACAGACTTAAATAAATCTGCATGACCTCAAATCGAGCGATAATGCTCTTCACTTGCATTTGGGAGGCATTATTCAGGTTTGAAATTCGGCAGTGTCATCGACCATTCTGACTGAGGATTCTCGCAAATTTCCTCGGCCTCTCGTGTGGAGAAAGCCGGGACTAGTACCTTGAAACGGCCCATGAGTACTTCCAAATCCTCAACTACTTATGATTCACCTCATTACAGGCTAAGCACGTGTTCAGCATAAAGTCGTTAAATAACCCACGAATCAATAAATTGGGATTGGAAAATTTATTTCTGATCTACAAATTCTCTTTGTGAGGGTCATACACAACAAATTAGAACGTCATTCCTCCCAATAGCATCAAGCTTATCACAAGAATGACCCTTCGGTGGCCTCGTCTGCTGTCGCTTGTTCAGGCCAAGGGCAGATCATGCCTTGAAAAGCGAGACTGCAGGGTGGTGAACATGCAAACATATATACATTACACAAATGTTACATGCTGTACAAGTATAGGTCTAAATGAAATAAATGTTTAGCAACCTTAGAATCCCCTAGAAACGTTTTAGACAGAAAATGTGAACAAATTTATTTCTAACGAATACAGCAAATCTCAGTACATAATCAGCGCATTGTTACGAATTCCAACTGTGGAAAAAAATCAGAGATCAATGTATGGTTAGTGTAATGAATGATCACGCTTGCCTATAAAAGAATGTGTAATAACGCTCATTAGAGTAGAAAATACAACAGAGTACCAGAGATCATAGACAGAGATACTCTTCGGTAACCACCACCAGTTGGAAGCACTGAAGCTGATTCATGAGTCTTAGCTATATCTTGCTAACAATCTGTTCACTCAGTCTAATTTGATAGTGAATATGAAAGTGATAAGTTAAAGCTGTTGGGCCAATGAGACTTCTGCAGGTAAGTATGGTTTACATGGTCTAATAAGATATATGGAAGTTTAGCTTGTTGAATAAGACGAAAGAATTTCAATTATACCAAATTTAACATCAAGAAATACTCTCTGAGAAATGGCCAGCTTACATTTATCACGCGGTCATATCACGTGAAACCAAAATCTTATCTGTGGTATTTATTAAGACGCAGATAGTTTCTGCAGTTCGCATTAAGAGGATTCTTTGTTAGATTTTTGGGTTGTATGTATGTAAATTAATAGCTGACTGAATAAACATTCAGGCAGGAGCAGTGAACCAGTTGCATCAATCTGATAAGATATATGAAACTAAATTCAAATGCAAAATGATCTAAGGACGCGGCCTCTTCTGATACTGCCACAGGCCAACGTCTGATTTCCGGGAGAAAATTACAATCTTCGGCAACCTTCCGCCCCCCACGTCAGAATTCCTCAAATGACACAACGTAAATTCTCAGAAGGCTCAGAAAACCACGTCATCAAAATACCAGATCTATTTTTAACAGACGAACTACCCATGACTACAACTGGTAAGTACCTTGGATCTACTGGTGTCACATCCAACCAAGGGTATATACAACTAGTAGCAACTACAAGTTACAAGATGGCTGTCTTCTGACTAGTTGCACCGTGTAATCTGGTAAAAGTTTACCTACAAGTTAAATTGGGTGGTGCCGGATAGTATTAAATTATCCTCAGGTCTGTGGCCAAATTCCTGCTAGTGATATGGAGCTTGTACTTCGGTACACCAGATGCAATGTCAGTTGAACCAACATGTTAATCATCAACATGGTCAGCGGAACCAGAAATCTTAAGACCGGCATATGGTTAGCATCGTTAGCTAACCAAGCCA